CACCTGCAGTTCTTTGGCGTCCACGAGTCGTCTTTTTGCTTCTGCCGTTCGGAGGGTAGCCATCCAAACATGATTCATTTGGTACGCACCGAGTGCTGCGATGTCGCCGAGTACGCCGCACCTGGCCATCTCTTGTCGAAAATCCTGGATACGGTAGGGGCGCCCTTTCAAATCGCAATGCAGAAGCACCGATGTTTCACTCGTAATTCCTGTAGGCATCTGTGGTAAAACAATTTTATAGTCATCGTTCGTCGATTCACCGGAGTGATTAGAACCGCGGTCAGCAAGGGCCGTTGCAGACGCTTCCACGGAGCTCATGTTTCGAACATCTTGCACGTTCGGCACGCGCGCTCGATCTCCCCGGCCACCGATCCCCCCATATCCATTTGAACAACACCTATATACAGTGCTGATAAGCGCACGGGGACAAGTGTATGGTTTTGAAAAGTGTATTTTGTATACGAGTTCACAAACCATCATTTCACTCACCTAGGCTCATGTTCCTGTGCCTTCGTCTGCATTGCTTTCGAAAAAGGCATTCGAATTGTGGGCAATTTGCCTGGTGTAACCTAAGACCTCAAAATTATTAGATATACTATTCGGTATGGTGCCTGGAACGCGTCTCCAACCGTGTGTTTACTCCGTCTAAAGAAGTGGTCCCTCGATTTCCGCCTGGTGGCGTCATAGAAGTGTCGTGCTGTCGCCTGCTGCGATCTTGGTGGTGTCCCAGCAGTTGTAGTGAATCTGGCAGACGTTCTGATGCAGGCTTTTCTCAAGTTTGACAGTCCACGGTAGCTTTCCACTTTCAAAGCTAGGAGATGCAGTACTTACACTACTTGTCTCACATAATGAACCCCCAAATCTCAGTTCAACGTTCAGCGGTCTGACATCGAACTGGAGGTACCAACGTTCTTGAATGGCTTGATAGCCGAGTGCTACAACTGATTAAAATAGCTAATGTGCGTGTTACTGAATACAAAAGAAAATTAATCGGGGTTTTCTTGGTTCTGCGGCAAAACCTCATTTTTTTTTTCTGTATTTTTTGATACGTATTCTAGCAGTATCATAGGTTATATCTCAGAGTTATCAAGCTCCGTGTAAACATCGGGGCAGTTTGACGGCAGTGCGCTGTACGTCGAACTTAAGGTTTAGGGTGCATTATGTGGAAGGAAAGGGTGTAAGACTATACCATTTTGTTTGTTGACACCGCGAGGAAAGCGGCACTCGCGTACGCGCGTGCTTTTCCCCAGCACTTCTACGACCAACCTCGACGATGGCGACATCCGACAGCATGACACTCTGGCTTCTGTGACGTCATTTGTTGCCACGTCGGGATCGCTTTTGATGTATGGGCTCATCAAAACGCTAAACACACCAGTCAGAGACGCGCTCTGGGCGCTATATTTACGCTTCGGAGTGACGTCCCTTCTGCGATCTTGGTACCTGCAACAATTGGTGCCACTTATCTAAATTCTTAAATGAAAGCGCGGAGAACGGTTTTTCTGTCCTTCAAAAATGTTAACACATTCCGGGACGGAACAAAACGTTATTGCGTGAAGTTCCCGTCGATTTGCGTACATCGCAGGAAGTCTCTTTTTTTTAGTCATAACAATATTTTATTGGACCAGTTTTACGCTGAACACCAATATGGCAGCGCCCATAAGAAATATGACGAATTGAATTCCGTAATCTAAATTCAGCTGATTAGGCGGCTGTGTAAAATGGTTCTTGAACTGGGCTGGCAATCTGTCCTGTTGATTTGTGCGTTTTTTCTCTCGTCGGCGATGTGAATTTTGAAAAGAAGGTCCTTGTCAAAACCTTTCAGGTCGCTATATACCGGAGGTTTAAAGAAAAGAAAACATGCACAAAAATTGTTTTCCCTCAAACACTTACTATAAACCAACACACTGTTTACAACCCAGCCCGGGTTTGCCCACACCGAGTCTGAGCAATGTGAGTTACAACCAATGTTTGGTAAATTTTTTGAGTAGAAAATTGAGTGCGTTTCCGGTATACAACGCGCCATTCATCTCCGTTCGTTTGTGGGCTTCGTCAGCCGCCATAATTTTTTTTAATTGAAAATCTCCGAAAATCGTTGGTAATTTTGGAACAAATAACTGCAAGCCATAAACGGTTGGTATATTGTCCGGGCCAATAGTGGTCTATTCGAGCCCAAGCTGAGTGCTTGGCAATGCCTACTTTATGTTTGTGGTGAAAAAATAACACTAGTGTTATAAAGCCGATAGGAAACATTTAGTTACAGTCTTCCCAGCACAATGCGTTTCTGTGTCGTTTTTGGTGTTGTTTTAAGAGCACAAAAACACCGGATCTGGTATATTTGGCGCACTAGCATAACACGTGAGACATGACATATTTTAGTGCGCTACAGGTGCCTGTTTTGTTTGGAGATATTCTCAAAAAACAGGTACATGCACTGTACCTAATGATTTTTTTTAAGACATCACACGTATGCATCCGATAACCGAACTTTGGCTTCTAGATAGTAATTTTATATTCCCTTTTTTGTACCAGCCCCGACAGACGGAGTCCAGTGCAGATATTTTAGCTCTTACTTATGGGAGGTTTCTTTTTTTCTTTGTTCGCATTTTTATTTCGCAGAAAGTTGGCCTTCAGGCATAAGAGAAGTTAGGTGTAGGTTATGAGGCCTGTGATGAGGATGAGCTAAAGTGGGATCTTGTAGTAATTCTCACTTTTTATTCACAGCAAACGTCATGACAAAAAATAATTTGTATATTCCAGTTCATGAAATATAACCAGATATTGTGTTAGAAGTTTCACATTTCTAAATGACACGCGACGGTGCTGAACACCGTTGTGACCGGGACGCAGAAAGCGGCAGTACAGACGAGAGGCGGACGCTCGTACCAATAGTTGACAGGCAGCTTAAAACCTAGTTAATTATGATGGACTTTGTCATCACGTTATTCTCATTTCATTGTTTCTAACGAGGGATTTATTAATTTTAAATCTCCTGCACGTGTTCCGCGTGTTGACGTTTTTAAGTTTACAGTGACTTAGGTATTCCAAGAAAACATTTTCCGCCCATCTTTCACAGTTTGTAGTTTTGGTGCTAGGCTAGATATTATTTTAGTACAGACACGAATACGAGGTTGCCAAGGCGCGCGTTCTGAACCATGGAAATTGTTAAATGCTGAATATCTAGTTAGAGAGCTCTATAGGCTCTTTTCACTCGTTGACGCCACGGCTCTTTGCCAAAGCACGAGGGACTAAGGGACTAGGTTTTTTGTTTGAGACAGCTGCAACAATTCAGAGCGTTCGTCGGCCTACAATTCAATAAAAGTCAGACAAAAAATCTAGAGTTCTCTTGAAAGGCGCCTGGCGCGCACCCCTTCAACATACCCGTTGTTATTTACCCACACATCACTCTTAATGCCCTTTGCCTTGATCTCCATAGGTATCTTCTCAATTGAAGAAGCCAAGAATGATTTTGACGCATACCAGCGTGTGAAACGCCACTCGGAAGGACGAGTAGCAGATTTAATTGTCAGGGAAAGCCCTAAAGACTTCTATTATCCATTTCACTCCAGGTGCGAGCACAGCCGACGTATGGTTCGCTCGAGCCAAGACAGCAGGTTCAAAAGTCCACAGTCACGGTTCTCGTCCCGTTTGCTTGTTTCGCTCAACGAGATCAAGGGGCGTAGAGCGATAAACTGGTATCCGGTTCCCCAGGCAAAATGGACCCCCCCCCCCCTCCCCACCCCTTGTTGCCGCCATGTCGTAGAATATTGGCCACTAGACACGAGACGTACCAACCCTGAGGCCATTACGCCGAACTGAGTCAAGATCTGTATTGCGATCCCTGTAAAAAAGAAACAAGCATGATTAACTTTTTTTCAATACTGTTCGCGGCAGAGATCAATGTCTAGCTCCTCTAAAAACCCAAAATACAGCACCGGGGCTGACGGAAGCAAGCGGAAGTATTGCGAAGGTGCCCGTGTTTTTGTCGTAGAAGCAAATTTTGAACTTAAAACGAACGAAACATAATTTATCTCGTTGATACTGTTATTAAAGATCAATGAGCAATTATCTGACCACACACTTCGTTAAAATCTAGACGTAAAACCCTGAGGTTACATGTCTAGTGGTAAAAAATATGGAACATGGCGGGCGGCCGGGTGGGGGTCACTTTTAGCTGCCAGTTTATCGCTTTAAGCCCCTCTAACTCGTTGGTTTTGCGCACAGCCAATGGTCTATAATCCTTCGTTTCTTTTTGTGCGGGATTGGCTTAGCCGGCGAAAGCAAACCCACAAATACGACGAACGCCGTGACGGTGCACTTTTGGCGCGGCTTGATTTGTTCCGTCGGCTATGATTGGGTCTTTTGTGAAAGAGAGTAGGGGAGTACCAATAGCAAAAATGTGCGAACAGTGGTTAGAATCGAATAGGAGCGCGTCGTTCCAAGCCTTCGACCCGCAAAAAAAGGCTCCCATAACCGGTTTTCGTTAAAGTGTCAAAACTAAAATTGACACTGCGCTACAGTCGATCCGAAGCAATATTCGCCCACGTCACCTGAAAACGCCTCTCCAGCTTCGTCACCCGACGAACTCTCTTGGTGCATCTCAGTTGTGTCCAAATACCACCTGGACTAAACAAAGCCTGCTCACTTTTTTTCTTCTTTTTTAAGCTCTGGTAGAGCATTCTCGGCAATTGGATCCAAGCCTTAAGTCGATGTCGTCCGACAACGCAGTCATGCGTAAAGTCTTCCAGTCGAGTACTGACGCAGCTCTTTTTGCATTCTGCGCCCAGCGTTAGCGTCTCCTATAGGTGACGCCTAAACGTCGGTATTACGCCGGCTTCGCCCTCTCGGAAGTGTTTCTATAACCCTCCGAGCATGCAAAAAAAAAAAAAAAAAAAAAAAAAAAAACGCTCGAGCATTTTTACGGAGTAGTTGAGAGGTAACAGCACGATTTCTTGCTCTCTGCTGAAGCCAACTGACTGTCCCACGTCCTCTTGTCGCAGCGGCCCAGGCTGCTGGAACACTCATGACGCTGAGCAGCTTCAGCAACGACTGCCTCGAAGATGTGCAGCGAGGAGCACCGGGGGGACTTCGCTGGTTTCAGCTGCACGTGTTCAGGGACAGGGAGTTCACCAGGAACCTCGTGGAACGTGCCGAGAGGTCCGGCTACCGCGCCCTCGTGCTCACCGTCGATATGCCCGTGGAAAGGCCGCCTAACATTGCCAAGATGCCCGACTTCTGCATACCGGAGCACCTCAGGTGTTTAAAACTCCCTAAACAATGTGGCGGCCACCACCTCTCAAACTTCCGAAACTGTATAGACTTATCAACAAAGTAACCTGCTCATCTTAGAAGGCACGTATCACTGAACAATAGGAAGACAACTGATTCGCGGGGAACGTGTTATATACTTCATTTGACTATAATTTTACATCCGAGTTCAGAAACATCCAAGCATCCATATATAAAAGAGAAAATCCACAGTGTAGTCACAGCGATTGACTGACGTAGTCAATCGTGCCAATCGAACAAAAAGAAAGCAAACGCCATGACATTGCACATGTCACGCTAATTGATAGGGTCTATCAACTTGCTGTATCGGCCGCACTCAGAGTGAAATTGACACAAAGGTCTAAAGCTAGTTTAACTACACAAGAAGATGATGAATTAAAAGTATATTTGGTATCGTCGTCAGACATAAGTCGCAGTTCGCACCTGGGCCTCTGGACTAGTAAAACACAAAGTTGGAGCCGAAACTGCGAAACGCGTCGATTAGACTTTGGCGAAAAAAGCGCGTCGTCGTTGTCACCAGCGTCCAGTCGCCGCGCTTCGTGAACTTCTGTCCAAACTTTGTGTCCACCGACTTTAGGGTCCTGAACGTTTCGTTGAGGCTTCTTCCTCGCCTTGAAAAGGATTCAAAACGTCGGCTGCCGCTTTGAGGCTATCAGCAGGTTTCTTTTTTTTAGAAAGAGGACACTTTTGCAGAAACGGATATTTCTTTTTTAATGCGAAAGACGGCAGCAACACAAATAGTCTGTTTAACCTCGTCGCTTTTTTTTTTCTTTTGTTTTTGCTTTGAACTTAGAACGATGTTGAAATATGAATCTTATGAAATAAGTTGAGAACCAGGTAATACGAAAAATGTTGTTTCGGACGGCATTTTGTTTTTCTGTAGGAAAACTTTTATGCTGACCGCTAGTCTAAGCTGTATTCTCGTTCGCAACACCAACATCGTCCTTGACATTGCAAGATATTTCGAATGATGAACAGATTTGAGGCGATGTGATATGTAAACCAAAAATGGGCCCAGTGCGTAAGGAAATTATTATCCACCAGCACAAGGATAATACTCAAAGGAACTTTCTGCTCTCCAAACATAAAAAAAAAATAACCTCAATTAATACGATTGCAGTTTTACGCTACATATTGAATGCCCCGTTCATAGTTCTGCGCATCACTTTGTGGAATTATCCGCATAATTTTCAGGATACTACTGAAACATTTCTTGACATGTCTGTCGGAGGGGAGAATTTTGTGAACTCTTAGTTGAAACTTAATGGTTAAAAAACTCGTAACTGAGTAAGCTGATTGAAATTTCTTTAAGAGCGGTAAACTTTAAAAATCTATGTTTCCTTGAGCCAGATTAGGGCTGTTCAATATTATACGGAATTGGAAACTAAAACAGTGCGGTAGGAGCTGCGCCCACAGGACATACGTGACTGTTTCAGCTCCTTCCACTTCTGATGAAGAACTACTTTTTCGCTCAGTGAATTTGTATTTATGTGAGAGAAAAAGGTGTATATCTGGATGACAATGGAGCGAGACGATAAGTTTTTGCTGCCTGGTTTTAGAGCTCGGCGAGAGGTAGGTGAATCCTGCACAAGGTGTAGACTTCGTCACAGATCGCGTTCTCGTGAGGTAGTGCAGGCAAGTGATATGGTTTTCAAGCTTGTCGTGTGACTGATCCCTACTAGGAGACGTTATCCCGTTTTGAGATGAATAAAGTCTGCTTTGAAGGCGTCATTCCAGTACGCAGCCTTCATTTCTGCACATGATAAAAGGAGATGGAATTTCAGTGGACCAACTTGGCAGCTTACTGCTTTACTTGTGTCGTCTTTACTTGAGATAGGTCACTGCAAATAAAATCTGATTCTATTGAATTCTGTGAGATAACACGAGGCAGGAGTCAGTAGAAAACATACAAAAAAAAGTGGACGGCATTATAAACAAACTGCGGCGACTCTACAAAGCATACAAATTACAACGCATGCGCGAAAAATGAAATAGCACAACTTTCCTAACATGCGATAATTCTTTTAGGCCCTTTTAGAAAACTTGATTAATTACTGCACGTGACGGCTGGAACAGGTTAGCGATTTGCCCGGAGTAGGCAAAGACCGCACTAAACTGAAGAAAACTGGCTCTTAAACGTCGGCATTGAAAACAATCTTGTTGCTAGCACCTAGTAACAGGATTGTTTTCATTGCCGACGTTTCACATCCAGTTTTCTGGCTGGAAGTTTCGCGCTGCCATATGCCGAAGGAAGTGCGTTCTTAAATCAAGCGAACGTGAACAGCAGGTGTAGCAATAGACGCTTCGGTGGGGGGCATAATTTCTATCACTAAAAATAATATAAAGCGAGACAGAGCATTCAATATCAGCGGGCTATGCACCTTCATCTCATTATCTCCCAGGATTGTAAATTCACTTTGTGGCATCGAGTGCCGTCAGCTTACGCTGAAGTGAAATTTTATCAGTTGACATAAAAACTTATTAACGCGAAGTCGCGCTAAAATTCGTCAGTACGCCGGGACTTTGAAAACAGGCGTGAAAGAGATGGGACGTAGAATGATTGAGATGATGACTATACGCCACACGTGGCTACCAAGAAGCACCGATTCCCTGGTGAGTCAAACGCTGTTAGCTAATCCCACACGCATATAGTGATCCCATTTAAAGGCTGGTTCATACACTTCTGTTTTGTTGCAGCCGAGTGCGTTCGGCAGCCTTTAGTCCCTTTCGACAAAAGAATACAGTGTCCCACTTGTTACTATCTAGGATGTAGCCCTTATACGGCATTTAACAATATAATCAAGGTTTTTGTTTTATTTGCGAGATCACATGTACGTAAGACGTATGGGAAGTGGCCGTTTGTAGCATTACCAGAATCTGTTTTAGACGCTTGGGGAAGATAACGCGCAAATTGTAGAAAATATACGAATATCGCAAGTATGTATTCAAGAGCCACTCGATAGATGGTGCAAGGATGTTATCTCGCCGCAAGGGAGCAGAAGGCTCCGCAACGCCTTTGGTTGCAACCAAGCGCAAGCACGTGAATCAGCCTTAGCGTGTTTCATAATACGCACTTTTACCCGAACTATTGCGGACTCGGGTACTGCACTTCTTCATCAGCCAGTCAAACTTCGGTCTCAAGTCCTGGAAACTGAGAAGCAGCTGGCGACACGTCCAGGTGTGTCACTTTACCAATTCTACTTTTATCGCAGGTGTGGCAACCTTCTGGGAACCTCCAGGCACGAAGACGCAAACCCAAAAGCGGCGGCCTTTGATGGCCTCCACGATCCTTCCGTCACCTGGGCGGACGTCACTTGGCTGAGAAGCATCACAAAGCTGCCTGTGGTAGCCAAAGGAATTTGTACAGGTTCGTTGCTTCTGCACACAACTGTCCTTGAAGACGACCCATGGGTCCGGCGGTTATTATGAACGAATCACCGAACGGCAGGCAATACGTAATTAGGGATGGCGAAATGACAGAGGGGCATCAGTTGGGATGACTAAATAGATGCTATATTGAGGATGAACCAAATGAAAAAAAAAATGTGCGTTTACATTTCTGCAGAACTCGAAGACCGACAATTACGGTGAAGAATGCAAAAAATCCCAGCGAATGAAAATGTTCAAAATCATATTGGACCAAAATAAGAAATTGCAATTTGAGGCGGGAGTGAAACATTGCGCTCCATGTCCTATCACACGGAACATTTGATTTGGTCTTCTCGCATTCTGAGCTTTGTAATTCGCTAAGATCCTTGTAATTGTTCGTCGTGATTAAATGCCTTCGAGTTTTGCAGAAAAGTGACCTTACAGATGGTTTCTAGAGTGCAGTGGCAGGTAATCGACTCCGGTGAAGACAGTCGCAGACAAACCCCGAGGGACTTCGCTAAGTCTGCTGTTAGGAAATTGAGAACAGTGAATCCTCTCAGATTTCTCATAATTATTTATTATGAGACAATTATTTTAATAATTAATATTTATTAATTATTTTATAATAGTGTTACTCCTATTAAATGCAGGGAATGTCATAAAGGTTGTCTAATATTTGCAAGAAGGCAGGATTAACTTCGTATATCTGCCTTATTTTTACACACTGAGGACACAGTAGAAGGCACGCAATGTGTGGCCCTTCACCGGCGCTTTTTATTGTAAGATAGAAAATATTTACCTAAATGAGTCCTTTTGAAGATAAAATTTATTATTGTACTCCTCTAGAACGTATTGATTACTTATGGATTCTCCTTAAATGCTTTCGTTTATTAGAAAACCTTTTTATCTAACACAGCCGAAGATGCAGAGGAAGCCATTCACTACGGAGTTTCTGCAATATTGGTGTCTAATCATGGAGCAAGACTCCTGGATGGATTACCTTCGACAGTACGTTCCGCTCGCTTTCTTTCTTATTAGCGGCGAGATGTTTCGGTGGCGCCCTCGTTTGGTTACCTATCGTGACGTCATTACCTTGTGAACAACAAGCTCGATGGTGTTCGTAATGAGCATTCTGGAAGGCTTAAATCATAGCGCTCTCAAAGAAACACTGCCAATACCGTCAAAATTAAAGTTCTCACATTCCTTTTATTTCCGTCGATGAGACATCCTTTGGTGATGTCATAGTCAGCATTTGGCCGATTTTGGTGGGCAGGCCACAGTGACACTTTCGATTACTCACGTCGCCAATAGGCTAAGTTTTTCATTAGGCTGTTGGCCATTTAGGGGACTGTAGAGCAGGAGTGGCAATTATGTTGATGAGAAGTTTAGTGGCGTAGCAGCAACGAAGATTATAATGCACCGAGATTGACATATTTAGGTCATATTAAAGAGACATTTAAACCAACGACTAAATAGAAATCACGATAAATATTACGTTTTTTTAATAAAATTTATCACGGGGTGGAGGGGAACTGAAGTCGGGGTTACACTGCTTAAAGATCATACAAAAGAGTCTGCATACAGATTCGAATGCGAGTCACCGCGAAATCCGTGCTTCGAATGCAGCCTCTCAATGCGTTTGAGAAAACTTGGCACGCGGCACTCAAACGACGGATATTACGGTGACTCGCTTTTGCAGACTGTCTTTTCTATGATGTATGAGCCATGTGACCCCGCCATAAGGGTTCTCACCAGAAAAACGCATGGGGTGAAATGCAGAAATTAATCGTCGAATATCATTACTCAAATAGCGTCCCTCTACAACGGAGACACAGGTTGGCATGTCTTATGACAGTGCTCGCTTTGTAAATCTTTGCAGAAGATATATCGGTGATCTGGAAAATTTAGTATCCTAAAAGAAAACTTGCAAATTTCACTTTTGCTTTGCAGGATTGAGGAGCAATCTCAATATTGTACCAAGTAGTAGTGTTCTTTGGACCGAAATTTGCTTTGAGTTTGGTAATTTAGGGCTCTGAAGGATTAGAGACAAGGTATTGCCAAACCTGATACTCTTCTTTGGTTAAAAGTTGGATATATTGGGCACAAGCTGCCGGAGCGCCACAGTTAGACTTCACCTTTGGTTGTTCAGAAACGTAACTTGGCAATTCTGTGCCTAAATAGTGAAACGCATGCAAGAATGATGCTTTACATTTCAGTTTTTCAATTGCCATCTGGAATTTCTATGCTATAACTCCCGAGAAAATATCAGAATCGAGTTTTATTGCTGGTTGTTAGGTTGTCGCAGGATAGTTTTGGCTTGTATATCTGTCATTTTGGGAATTATGTGGCGATCAACACTAAAGCTACACGTGACATTTCACCGGCTATCTGGCGAAAAAAAGTACTTTGGCCGTAATTAACACGTTTGAGACGAACGTCATTAGACGCAAGTTAGACCCATGGGGATGCCAAACTTGGGTCAAGTTAGGCTTTTCACCGGTGTCCGGCATGTGCTTAATGCATTCATTTAGACTTCGCACACAGGCGTTATATTTAAGAGCAGCATGGCAGGTCCTGATTTCTTGAATTATGCTCTATCTTATCTTCTATCTAAAACGGTCAAGATCGCAGATGACTCTGAGGAACTTTTATATCCTATAATCATCGTCGACGCATGCTTACCTGTGGAATGTCGTGCCCACCACAGTGCCGTTAGCGTCACAAAATCCCGTTTAACCGTTGTTGTCAATGTAGGTTTCATTCGTTTACAAGCAGAAAGTTACATCTTAACATAGCAATGCTGGTCGGCGATTTCCGTTTTGGTACTCCGCACCACCATCTTGTACATCCTTGCCAATATGAACGCGCCGTAATGGGGATATGAAAAAATTTAACACGTTAGAAATTAGAACAGAATTATAAAATAAGTTACACTAATGCAACAGGTGCTTATTGTTCAATGGCTGCCAATGTTAAATTTTTTGCGCAGTTTTGAGTTATATAAAGTCCTGTGAATGCCCTTGTTGAACACTTTGTGTTCCTTAGGAATTTCACCCTTCAGTGCTGTGTACAAGAAAACTAATTAACTTTTAATGTGATGCATGTATGAGGTGTGCAGTATATTCCACGGAAGTAAACCATTTTTTTCTATTTTAAATCGGTGGCCGGGTGTGCTAACCTGCAAAACCCGAGGGTATACTGCAATACCCAAGGGTCTTGGGATCAATTCTCCAACCCTACCCGCTTCAATCTGAATAAGCACCGTATCTGGCGCGGCCGTGCACAATAGCTAATGCGTGATGTATGCTAGAAACTTTCGGGCTTACAGTGATACTACACTGGTGAACTTCCTCATCTACAACGGAGACGCCTGATGCCCATTTGGAATGTTTAACTTACTAACTTCACGCCGTCTAAACATACACGCAGCACAATTACTGTTCAACGTGAGATCCGCCCTTGTCTCGCTCTGCTTGCAGATCGAAGCACTCCCCGATATAGTGAGTGCCGTCCGTGGCCGCGTCGAGATCTACCTTGACGGCGGAGTGCGTCGCGGCACCGACGTGGTCAAGGCGCTGGCACTCGGAGCCAAGGCCGTGTTTATCGGACGCCCAGCCCTCTGGGGCCTGGCGTACAACGTAAGACGTCACAATGTTTTCCTTCGTATGCTCAAGGCTTCCAAGAGCCGACGCGTTCTCGCACTCTCAATAAAAGTGACACTGCAATTCACACCGCAATAAGAGCGCAGTAAGAGAAGTGCGCCTACTATCAGATGTTAAGTAGGTTTTTTTTTTGTTTTTGGAGAGGAGTTTGGTGGTTCAATATTGAGTTAAATGACTATTTTTATAAAACTACTTAATTACTATTCACCAGTACGACCCTGTCCCGAACAGTCTTTAGCCTTCAACGGTTAACTGAATTATTATTCGTTTTAATTAGGACGACGAAATATTAGGTCTGACGAAGTTGTCCGCGTCCAAGGGCATAACCTTATTTTACCCAAGTTAGCCTAGGCCTACAAGTTCTTAATTGAACTTAAACTGGTTTAGTTTCTTCCCTGGGTCAAACGCTAGTTCTTGAAAATACTTAAACGAGAGCAAAAAAAAACATTTTAATACTCTCAGTTGGATTCCCTCTCAGTTAAACATTGAAGGAATCTTCTTGTGGACTCGGTCCTCTAATACCCTTGTTACACGGGCACGCTTACTCGGACAGCATTCTGAAGCTACGATGTCAAAGCTAGAGCCATTAAAGTCTAAGCCATGGGCAGACGTGCCCCAGCGCATCTAATACCCTAGTTACACGGGCACTTTGAACTGTCGTTGAGTTCAATCACAGTTATCGGTCCCAACTGTGATTGAACTGAACTGAACTGAGATGGTGCTACACGGCTCTCTAGAACCCAGTTGAAGCTAAAACGAAACTAGTTATTGTGCCTCGTGATCAGTCTAATTGTTAGAGTAATCTACTCGGAGAAACATATTTTGTTTACTATAAGTATATCGTACATTATGTTCAATACCTTGTTGCTTTTTAGTGGCGTTTACATCAGTACCAAAGCAGACTCAGGGCTAAGTTGCGCATATTTTAGGCTAGGTGGGGCTAGCTACCACCCGTTACGATGGGTGCACCTATTACTATCTGTCCATTCACACAGCTGGTCCCGCCGCCATCTTCGCTCGTTTGGTGGCTTGCCGGCTAGCCGGGATCGTTTGAGCGGCAGCTCGGAAGCCTAAATCTATTCCTTCCCGGATATTTTGTTGCTACGATTCTTTTTAGACGCCTCCCCCTGCATTCCGAAACAGTAAGTGCCTCGGAAATGATGGTCGGCGGCAGCGGTCCCGCGGACAGGCGCCATCTTACCTCAGTTGGGGAAGTCCGTTCAGCTGAACTGAGGTAGGGGAGCTCAGTTGAACTCAACTGTCATTGGCAGCTCGATGACAGTTGGCGCCGCCGTGTAACTCCGGCCGATCGCGATTGAGTCAACTGTCGTTGACTCAATGGCAGTTGAAAGCGCTCGTGTAACTAGGGTATTAAACAACTATAAAAGGAGCGCCAGTGTCGGATAAAGTACGTCTAAAAGGTACTTCAAGTAAAGTACCACGTAAATGAGACGTGATGCACTTTAAATAAAGTTTTAACTACACTGGGTGCAATGTACCTGAATTAAACAACTATAAATACAATGTACTTTTAAAGTAAAGTACAAGTATTTTAACAAAATCTTTCACGATGCCCTTTCATTCTCCTATACAGTGATTTTTTAACTGGTTTGCATTGCCCAGAGGTAATCAGGGGTGCATGACCTATTTTCAAAAAAAGCGGCGAATATTTGATAAAGTCAAGTGGCCACAGATTAGTTATTTTCAGGAATGGAGCCAAATTCAGAAGTCCCTCTTCTGAATTTGGCGCCGCTTGCACTGAATTGTTGCACTCAAGGGGGCTAAATGTACTAGGAGAGAGCATGACTTCAGCCCCGTAGCTCCGCAAGCAATCTTCTCATTGAGAAGTGTTCCCCTTTGAATGCAAAAAACAGTGAGTGGGCAAGCGCGCTGGTGATAATTGATCACAATGGGACACCTGAGATTGGGGTGCGAAAATATTAAGGGAGGTTTCAAATAGTAGGAAAGGACAAAAGAGAATGTCTCCAAATATTGTGACGTTCTCACTTGTTGTCTTTTTTTGGGGGGACTTGAAAATCTAATTTTTCTGCTCCACAGTCTGAGGTGCTAGATCATGATTAATTCTTCTCTCCTAATATTTTAAACCTACTCGCTTGCGCTGACCAACCGAGGAGTAGGGAGAGTTCAAAAAGCTACGGGAGAGCCGCTACCGGAAAAACGGAACGATAATCATCTGCTCACGTTTCTGGCAAGAGACAAGAGTAGAATATCCCTCCCAGTTTTTCTTCGGAGTTGACAAAGCATCATTTCGTGATACAAATTTAACAAAACAAGTTTGGGAATGTACTTTGAAGTTGGCAATTGTACTTTCCTCGGAAAGTACCAGAAAAAAAAAAAGCTTTAAGTAAAGTACAAGTACATACTCGGAGAATGTACTTCAAGTAAAGTAGAAGTTTCCTGAACCTACTTGAAGTAGTACTTTAAGTACAATGTACTTAAAGTGCTTCCCAACACTGAGCAGTGCACGTGCATTCTTCGCTTCTTTTGAAATAGCTACCCGAGAGTATAGTGCAGTAACTGTGGAAACGCGCCACAGCAGTTAAAGGTGAGTTGACTCCGGTTAAAGGTGCCCGTGTAACACCGGTATAAGTCAGTTAAATAAGTAATACCATTGGTCGAAAGTGAGCGTGCTGTTGTTTCTATGACACGACTGACTAAATGATATCTTTAATAAAATGTGGCTACTTTGTCGTAGTAAGTGATATTGGTTTACCATTTTCTTAAATCACCCGAGGCTGGGTGGAGGACGAGAATAATCTTAAGTAGAAGAGAAAGGAGCATAATGGCAAAAGGAAACGATTCGCATTTGTGAGATACCTAATATTTGTAATTGTGACGTTGCTTTGTGACGCTTTGTTTCTTTCTCTTTCACTATATTTTTTTTTATTCTGTACTTTGTTTTATTTAGTTTAGGAAAGTTGTAAATCTACACCAGTTCAAGTGCGCCATCACTGTCTAATTAAAATCGGTGTACCTTTCGATCAACAAAGAAGAGATAATAAAGTTTTTTTATAGAAATAAAATTAGTTCCGCCACCAAGATAAAACTTCTAAATTAACTGTAGAGGGGGTTTCACTTGACACAGAAATAATAAAACAAACTCGGGACAAGGGACGCGAACATCCCCTCTACTCGCAGCAATATATGATTGTTGTTGCGAGTGAAGGATGTGTTCGTCGTCCGTTGTCTGGAGTTTTATTCTCTCTGTGTGATGTTAAGACTTGGACTATTCGAGAATTCCATGGCTTGGACTGAGATTGGATATATGAGCCTACCCAATTTCCTGTCCCTCGGGCATCAGTAAGATTTCATACTCGACACCTTTGTAGCTACTAGTTCTGCCGTGCTTCCCCAATCTTCGCAAATAATGTTCATTTGAAGTTAGGAATCGCACTCACCTCTAGGCTGCTTATGATATTTACGTATATTTGCCATCACCCGGGGGAAAGCATAGTTCCTGATGCTTGTACCAACGCCTGCAGGGTGAAGCAGGCGTGCGCCAGACGCTCGAAATCTTGAGGGAGGAGCTGGACCGGGCTCTCGCATTGATGGGTGAGACGATGTCTTTGCTCAAGAGACTTGTAAAACAATATATATATATATATATATATATATATATATATATAAATACTGATGGCCTATTGTCACTAATAAAGTGAGAACGGTGGGGCGTGTCTATAGAAGAACCGGCCTTCAGCAAGCGCCAAGCTCTTCCCTATCGTTAAGTTGTCACCTTGTCAGTGACTATAATCTGACTATCAGAACAAACACTTACTTTTATTCACCGGCAAAACAAAGGTAAGCTTTTGCCTTCTTCCGACATTACTAGTACGGCTAAGCTTCCGTAGTGACGCGTATGAACAAAACGTTTCTATTGTGGCCCGACGGTGACGATAAACGTCCCTAAGGTCAACTTTATTTTACGGGAATACTGACACACACCTACTTTTTCTAGGAATGAATTATTAGTTTATAGTCACACAACAATTATCAAGTCGACAAAACAGATCTGGGAGCGTTTCGCCAATCCGCTCCTGATGGTGACCATTAATAAACGTTAAAAAAAATGTTTTTCGAAAAGGGGGTTTTACGCGTGCGTAGGAAGTGAGTGCTTTGTGTTCTGGCGTGTTACGAGACCCGAGAGGTTGAAGGGTAAAGGAAAAAAAAAAGGCTCTTCAGAGCTGGTTTAACATTATATATATATATATATATATATATATTTATATTCATGTCTGGTTTAAGAGTGGTACGGCTCCACTTCTGTCCCTTCGTATTGAACATTTTGTGCCGCAGCTTCTGCTCAATGCGTTTCTAAAGACACGACCACGCCGCAGCTTCAAAAACAAACAAAAAAAACTGACGGTTGTCAGACACTGCCTGGTTCGTCTTTCTTCCTTGGACGACGGCACCCGTCACGTTGGTCAAAAAAAAAAAAAAAACGTGCCTTGACACACGATCGAAAGGTACACAAGTACAAACCAGACATACTGGGAATACGCAGGGTCCGAAGATTACGATGTCATCTAGGTCTACATATAACACAATGTTTTTATGTTTTATGAGTGGTGGGACTGCGGTTTCAGTGTGCGCACAACCTTGAAATATGGGAATAATAGCGAGCGAGCACCCCTCCCCCCTCCTTTCCTCTCCTACCTCCCAATCCTGAGTCTCCAGCGCAATAAATGTAGTCGCACCTATATATTCCTCGCATTGCCGTCATAAGCGCTGCTAGAGGGGTATACTGGTGATTACTTTCAGCAGAATATATTTTACTCCACCTGAGTTTCTTTTTTTGGTGTAAACAATAAGCAATGACCACCAGCACGATTTGATGGCGTCACATTCATGCAACGTATAAAGCTTCTAAACAAAAAGTATTTTATAAAAACACCATAACACGCAAAAGAATCAACTTTCCTCGGGTTTGTTTTTGCCATTGAAACAAGGGCGAACACGTTAGTGGTAGTTCTCTTACGAATTTGCACAAAGGTGGGTTATTTAGTTCAAGTGTACGGGTTCCACAGTGGTCGCCGGAAGTGAAGAACCTAGCCTATGTGGTAATTTACTATACTCTGTTTCACCTTATGATGTACCGCAGGAAAGGCTACAAGCGCGAGCTCTTTGCTCTGGGGCACATCTCGGCGGCACACGCTCTCGTGAATTAAGAGCAGCTGCCAACGCTATGAGCTCGCGCTTCTAGCCTTCGCTGCGGTACAACATAAGATGAAACGAAGTATAGCAGGCCCCAATATTCGTCTAGCATATGAGACTCCACGATTAACTGATGCCAGCCATCCTGTATCCTGGTGCATACAAAAGCGCATTGCATGTAAGCTGTTCACAACCCAACGGATGCTAGATAACCAATCCAGACCGCTGCATTTTCTCCGTCACCTCAAAAAGGCCAACGCGGGGCAGAACGATCACGAGTGCTTCGTCAGCATTCCGCTGAAACTCATGTCCCCGTTTTGCCTAAAATGTGCTAAAAAACCTAAACGAACAGCGCTAAAGCATAGTGTCCCAACTATTAGGTAAGCTATTTCATTTTTTGCGAAGTTAGTGAATTTGAAATTTTGGTCTTAAACGTGTCACTACTGGCGAAAGTGAAAAGCGTGATTGGTTCACTATTTGAACTGTAGATTTCGTTCCCAAGTGATTCCCAAGCAGTTTCGTGGTGACAAATAAACGCTCTGAAAGCTCGCTCCTGTACCCGCGCTCCAGCACAGAGCAAATGCTTGGCATAGTCGATTCTGCAGACTGCGTGCTCGAGTGGCAAGCCTGCCTTCATCTGATGTCACTGCACTGAAGAGTGCACCTATATTTGAATGCTGGTTTTTGGAACGTTTTTATTTCCCAATTTCACCCTAACTATTGCGAATTTTGCGATACTGCATTGCATACCGGAAAAATCTGAACGCCGGGGAATCTGAAAATACAAATAGTTAGTCTAGTTAAAACAAATCGCCCGACTACCCCTTTAAATCATTAAAACTATCAGTCCCAGTCGAACGCTAACGCAGAAGTCATGCCCAATATGTGACCCTCATTGGCCTTCCTTAAATGAAGCAAAACATTCAACACTCCGACTTTGTTTTTATTCGAAAGGTCTCGAAAAGTACCATCAGTCAGAATGTGGAAGGCGTGTTAGTTCCCGTGTAGGCTATTTGGTGTTTCCAGAAAGCCCGCAAGCCAGTGCTTCTGCGGGGTCCATGTACTACGTTTGAGATGGTGGCGTGGACTCCGATCGGAGTCCACGCCACCATCTGACAGAGCCAATCATGCATTGCCAAAAGTGCCACGTCACGGCGTTGGTCGTGTTTGTTGGTTGGCTACCACCGGCTGAAGCAGCCAAGCACATAAAAAAGCAGGATTATGTCGCATTTACCGTGCGTGGTTGCTTTAGCCGGCGATGACGTAGGACCAATAGAACGAGCGTCTTGGCCATGGACCTTTGGCGCTGCTCATTTGGCTCCATAGGGGCGAAGCGTATCGGCAGTATCCATGACGCGGTGTGAAGCGAAGTATCGACATTCCGATGCAAAAATCTGATGACGTATTGGTAATGGCCCATTGGTGGTGGTATACATGCCAATGAAGAACGGTGTAGGATTCCGCACAATTAAGCGATCATTTACTTTTAGGTGCCTTAATATCCGGACCAGGGATGGGCAAAATACATGCAAATATGTATCAAAATACAAATACAAAATACTTCGTCAAAAATGTATTTAATTACAAGTCTAATTACAATTCCGAAAAATCGTTTAAGTACCAGATACAGATACAACCAAATGTATTTGGTCTCCTCCAAATACTTTTCCAAACACATTCCTCAAAATTTGCGTCAGCGACTTCAGGGCACTTGGAACGGCTTTCTGGGTATCTCATTTTAATTTAGCATCACACACTCGGGAGTTAGTGTGCGAGGCTCTAGTGACGTAATAGAAATATAACTTTAAAAAATGTAATCAGCTTGGACGTAATAGGTGGAAAAAAGTACAGAGCTTCAAGCAGCTTTTTTTATCGATTACATTTTGGTATAGACCAACAAAGAACCGAGACGCCCAAGACGCTCAGCACTAGCTAGAGAATTTTTTATTCTTGCAACTCGCACCAGTCACGAAAACATGGATGACCCGCGCATTTAGAATGTTCCAGGCGGAAATATGGATGGAAATCAGGCTGGAAAGCATCACAAGTTGTCACAGGCACTTATTTAGCCAGTCTGCCTGTGAACGTCGATTTCGTGACTATTTTTGCCCTGGACTAGCACCGTAATCACAAAGTCACTAAACGCTTGTGCTTGACTGAGAGACACTGCATTCGGTGCAGAACGTAGTTTTCTTCCTGCTCTGGACACGTCTTAGGATGAGCAAAATGAGTCGTGACAATAAATTTGAGGGATGTATTTTCGCCCATAAAATTGTATTTATTTACAATTGTACTTGAAATACCCACGTTTTAGTATTTAAATACACACGTCAAATACATTACCCAATTTGTAATTAAATACAAATGCAAAATACACAAAGTATTTGAAATACGTATTCCAAATACTTGTATTTGAAATACTGCCCATCCCTGATCCGGAATATATAGCCCGTTTCAGGCGTACAGTCCGCCGGAGCAGGGTTAAGCAGAAATATTTGAAACTGTACTTGGAAATACAAATATTCGGATACGTGGCAAAAACAGCTAAAAGAATGATACTGAAATACATTTATTGAACCGTTATATCGAAATCTATCAGAAATATATATCGGTGTAAAAAAAAAGTATTCTGAAATACAAATGCAAGAATAATTTTTGTGTGATAGAAATACAGATGCAGGAAAAAAAAGTTATTTTTGATTACTATTTTTGATAATATTATACTTCGTAGAATTGGCTGCCTCCGTCCGCTAATGTCTACGGAAAACAAAAAAAAAAGCGTACATGACCCGTAATAAACGAAACATTATGTCGAATCTTATTTGAGATCGACCAATTATTAGAGACTAAAAGATTCATCCTGAATTTCGAAGTTCACGTCCTTGCTTTGGAAATTATTTTTTTGGCAAAAGTAACATTTGTCATTTTTTATAACGATAATGAACGTGAGCAGCCGCATTTTAATGTCTGTAAAAAAACTTCCCACCAGAGCTCGACTTTTTTTTTTTTTGCCCGCCATTTTTTTCTTTTTGAGGAAAATTTAAAAGAAACTTTAAACATATTTTTTGTTCACAAGTAACATCGAGATGTCTCCATGCCCTGCCTGACCTGGGCGACTATTTCAGTGCGATATTATGACGTTATTTTGAACTGAATCAGTTTCCTCTTATATGTGAGTTGTAGACACGTCAGGCAGCACCTACAATTACGAAATCTTCAAGAATAGTCAACACTGAAGTCAAATGCAACATCTGTTATACTTGCTGAAGAGACACGTGCATTAGTTTAGTCGGGAACACGTTTTCACAATAAAAAAAACCTCAGTGTACTTTGCATACCACCCCCATCGTCTTAATACACAGAAAATAAAAAAAATAGCTTGAACTTTTGTTTGGAAAGCGACAATTCCTTTAAAATTTGTAACGAGATACATCAGCCCCTAAAGTATCGCGATACTTTAGGGGCTGATCACACCCGAAAACGTATTTCAATAAAGAAATACTGAATACTATTGAAAAATTCTATCGCGATAGAGAAATATAAATAAAAACATGACTTTCTGAAATACTATCGCGATACATTTGTATTGCGATACTACCCATCTCTGTGCCGGGGCAAGTTTTGAGTCACTAAAAAGAATCACTAAGGCAGTACACACCCGGTGCATAGTCTTCACCCTGTCCATGATCCGCATGCCAGGCGCATACTCTAGAAAAAGATGTATGGGAATCACTTGCTTCTCCTAGCGGCCGAATACGGTACGACGCCCCATGCTTCATGTCTCTCTATCAACGCTGCATTTTCTGAATGTGTCAGCAGCGGCCAAATGGCAAGGAACAAATAATTATGTCAAAATCGGTTTCTAACTCAAACAAAAAATGCAAAGAATAAATATATATATTTATATATATGTATATGTATAGGGCACCGCGTTTCAATTTACGGCTGAATAATACCTCTACAGTGTGTGATGGAATGCTCAAGTAGTCCGTTTTTCGCAGCGCATTAGTTTCCTTCTAGCCCTTGAGTGCAATGTGGCACCGCTTCGCGCATACGGAATTGCTGGGCTGTGTGTTGGTTTAAATCAAGGGGAACGCTTCCTCACCAGATCATCACACCTGCCCTTCTACCCAAACGTAACTGTGCTTCTGGTGCACAACTTACCATGACACACCTTGGTTTGCAGGTGAAACGATCAGACGCGCTCACTCGAGTTGCCACTTTTTTTTATGTAAAAGTTAAGGCACTGAGAAGACCACGGATTCTTTGCCTGGGTTCTAAACATTCAGGATTTTATCCAGCCACTATTTCGTAAACGTTGAAAGATGATTTCATGGCAATTTTCATACATCGAAACCAGAGCTGGCAGTAATGGAATTACTGTAATGAAATTACAGTAATTTAATTACTTGTTCCAGTAATTAGTAATGTAATTCATTACTTTTTGTAGCAGGTAATTTAGTAATGTAATAAATTACTACAGCGACGGTAATTGTAATTAAATTACCTAATTACTTTTTCGCACCAGGCATATTTTTTGTGCCCACAATACACAAGAGCGCTTTTCTTTTTATTTTACTTTTTCTTTTTCCTCTACACCTTTCCAAAAAACGCTCTTTGGCCGCCGCTATGTTGCTGATGCTAATGCGGCTGGTGCGACTCTCGCGCCCGCTATCAGCTAGACATTTTCTGCCACTCTCTTGAACTGTGAAAACCCGCTCAGCGCGATTCTCTACGTATGTTTTGCGGTTTTGCATTCGACGTTTTCTGGCCCCTCTTGAAAGTTTCCGCTTACTTTTTCTGATGCATACTGCGTACCCTCTCTGTGTTATCTTCCACTGTGAGAAATAGGGCTGGTGAGTGGCTTTCATTCGAGCTTTTCTGCTCGATATTCTCGGGAAACGAAGGAGGGGAAGTAGATCGAACTATGGCCCCTGGTGGAACGGCCCTCGACGCGATTTTGCGAACAATCACAATTGTTCTCCCCCCTCCCAGAGATAATCCGCGTAGGGTCCTCAATCATCTCCAAAAATAGTTGTTCGGGTTGGGGTGGGAAACGGATCAGTCGCGTGCGTTCCTCTGTCCATCGGTAAACATGTTATTTGTGAGCGTGAAAGATGCATGCCTTTCGGCTATCTTCTGTTGTAAATTATTTTCGACAGCTAAACGCTTTATCGTTTGACACGCGGCTAATCGAACGGCGCCGTCAAAACTTACCGTAAAAAAAACAAAAAAAAAACAATAACTAACATTCCAGTCGCATTCATTCTGTCGCGCGCGTACCCAACAAAAATAGTTTACTGCTTTTTTTTTTTTTCAAATGTGGTACAATGCTTCCCAATGTCCTCGGGAAAATACATGCACCATGAAACACAAAATGCAGTGGGAAAACACGAGAGTTTAGCCGCCAGCAGTGTTTGAAACTGCGCCTACACAGGCTGCGCCTCTGTAGGCGCAGCCTGTAAAAGTATACAAAAGTAATGCGAAAGTAATGTCATTACTTTTAAAGGTAATTTGTAATGGTAATTGATTACTTTCTGGCTGTGGTAATTTGTAATGCAATTTAATTACATTTCAGCAATTTTCAGCAAAGTAATTAGTAATGCAATTTAATTACAAAATATCAGTAATTTGGCCAGCTCTGATCGAAACATACACGCAAAGATATTTTTTCTGTGCTTTTTTACTACACCACGCAGGATGCTCTTCTGTCGATCAACTGCGACCCCAAATGGTTGTTCATCAAAGTTATTTCTACCGGCTGCCGCAGACCGAGGCACGAATTCAAAATGGCTGCCACTAATGCCCCAAACACTTCCAGCTTCTCTTCTAGTAAACGTAGTCGTGGACGATAAGCCATTCAGTAAGGAGCGATCATATAAGCTTTGAAATAAAATTTTGTATCTCTTCCCGGGTCTCATGCTTGAACGTTTGTTTACCGCCAGTGGTCATGCGATGTATTTTTTTTTTCTGACAAGACTGTCAGAAAATTTACAAAAAAAACGTTAAAATTGGTTTTCTGAAATTGTTTTATCATTGCCAGCTTTTTGCGCCCTAATCTTCCGTTTAATAACTATTCCTTTTTTTACAAGGCTATGGTGCCTCGCATCCGACTCCGGCTTGATGTGCTTACTGCGTCCGAAACAGTGGCCCCTCAATTTCCGCCTGTTGACGTCATAGAAATATCAGGTTTTCACCAGCCGCGATCCTGGCCGTGTCAGAGCAGCAGTGTGCATGTGAAGGAAGCCTGTTCGTTTGAAGAACTCTCTCGAGCTTGACAGCCCACGGAAACTTCGGGAGCCAGGAGCTGGGACGACGCGACGACACCCGCTTCCGCTCGTCCATCTTGCCGGGACGTCAAGCACCAACTGTCAGGACCTCAACATTCGACAGCATGACAGGCCGGCTCGTATGGCGTCATTTGCTGCCGTTTCTCGACAACTTTTGATACACGGGCACGATAGAACGAAGCCCGCATGGGCTGCCCAAATAGACACTGTTGTTCCCCCGACGGGAGCCCCCGTGGGCTACCTATAGTATAGGCCTTTCGTGGGTCCCCCCAGGACAAATAGTTGTGGTCTTCTCAGAAGGTTGGGCCCGACTTCCAAAGCCGACGTCAGACCCATTCGGGCTGTCCACTTTGGGTGTCGTTTCAGAACCTACTTTGTACTACTTGGGAAAACATCTTAAAGATACGTAAAGCACGCATCGTTTTATTTTATTTTTTACATGCCTGATTGTTTTATTTTCAGTGCTTCCCTTTCAAGCCAACATTTATTTAAGAAACTAGATTCCATCAGGATTATAGTACGTTATGAACAACAAAAGTGGTTGATAACATAACGATAGTGGTTCATAACCTTGAGCCACTTGGTGTCGACGCGTTAGAAACAAAGTCACAAAGTCGACACCTTCCGTATCTTATTGCAGACAAGTGCAAAACGATATCGCACGGATCAGCACACAGTGGTGTATAACATATGTTTGTGAGGCCAAACTGTTAGGTGCATCGAAATACCGCGGAACTCGTGGAGCATATTCCTTAGATCATTTTTATATGCATTGCCAGATATAACATAATACGCTTTAATATCTTAGTGTTTGAGTGCGCTTTATATATGAAAATTCGCTGTATGTCTGCCGGCTACCAAAGGCGTTCTAAATGCATTTCTATTATAGGTCTGCTTCGCACTCCTTCATTCGGGTACATTAAAGATGCCCATACGTGCCATGACAAGTAAATCGCAGGCAGACTAGTTTTAGTGGACCGTACGCTATAGCTTTGCGTACGCAAGGAGATTACGGGTCGTGAGTGCGTATGCGCAGAACGCAATAGAAGGGCTAGTGTATTGCGTACGCACGCAACGCTGGGGATTTTGCGTTGCTGGCTAGCGGGCCTTGCGGGACGCTCTCGAGAGATCTCGGACCCAACGAGAGCGCCAGTTTCCAAATGGCAGTTTTGCCTAGACTGGCGCAGCAAGGGCGACGTGGTGTTTTCGAAGTTCTGTGTTACGTGAAATTGCGTGGTGTTCAGCTCGGGGATTATTTCTGTAACCTACCGCGGTCGAATCAGATCGCCCTGCAGCTGAAGGAGTGCACAGCGGAAATGTTCGCCGCTCGCAGTGTGCGTCGACGCTGCGATCTGCTCAACGCTAAGCCTATTCCCACAGTTCATTGCCGACGGACGAACGACCCTAAAAGAAATCGCCGAAGTTCTCGCTATGCACTGGACAGCAGGGTCATGAATTTCATTCCGCGATAGCATTGATAAGAGGTGCGGTTTCCACGGGAGAACTGACGGAGGCTCCGTGATCGAATTTGGCTACGCACTCATACTCGCAGCCTCTGTACCCCGCAGAAAAGCGCGCTTGACGAGGCAGCTGTGGTTTGGTTTATTCTGAAATAAAATGATTGAACACTTTTTCTTTCTCAATATTTCTTTCCAGGAGCATGGTTGCGCTATAAGCACGCGGAATTCTACGGCTCTAGCAAATTTAACCAAGATCATGCGCGGTGTTCACTCGAAAACGTAACGCACGACTAAATTCGGTCCGAGCAGGTCATTTTTAGCGTACGAAATACTATTGCGTATTGCGTACGTAAGATCCAGCAACGCCATACTAAAACTGTTTAGTGATGCCTGACCGAACGCCAGTACGATGCTCATTCAGATTGAAACAAGCAGAGGCGGGGGATTGAATCCATGATCAGTGGGCTTTGCAGCGCGAGCTTTCGCTACACGTACTCCTTATACCCCGAGCCACCAGCCATCGCTGTCGAATTCGAGCTCGAGAGAAAAATATCAAGAAAATTTCCGTTTTGAGGCATTTAGTACTACTGTCGCCATCTCGTTTAACACGTTGGAAATACAATTAACAGGGTGATTTTATTTACACAAATACGCAAATGACAACATTAATTTTTATCGTCATGGTCCTTAAATTAAGATTGGAAGCACCCCTAGTACGTACGGCCAAGCGTTTTGTCACGTTTGTCTTCTAAATAATTTTATTTTCAAAAATGTCTCACAACGCGCTAAAAACAGCGATAGCGTTCATATTTCTGGATTTTATTAAAATCCCCATCGCTCTCAAGGAAAAATCCAAGGGCCGTACAACCTTCATTACGTCTTCATAATTAACCCCCAAAATATTAAACACTCTGGTGCATTCCTGAAACTCAGGTTTGTGTGGCGAAATTTGCCCATTGAGTGACGAGCGGTTGAATCCCCATTAAGCCAATGTTACAGGAGCAAGCTCAGTTTCGCAGCTCCCTATTCTCGCCTGCAGAGGCGAGAGGCCCAGGTGGCGGTCACAAGAACTAGCGGCGCTGCAGTCGGATCTCACTTCCCTGTCTCGCGCGCCGTCTACTAGGTAGGTAGGTAGGTAGAAAACGTTTATTGGAAACCAAGAACTACGAATAGAAAGATTATCCGCGCCGCGGTGATCCTCGGATCTGGCAGCCTCGTTCTTGCGTGATTATGGGTGATGAGGGATGACTGTGCGATGGGTCATGAGGGGTGTTTTCATATGGAGTCCCCAAGATCTAACTTGGCTACGAAGTCCAGAAGCGACTGGAGGATCCTCGTCCGGCGTTGGGCTTCGCCCTCCGGGTGCGTCCAATCCACGAGTCTCTTGGGTCTTTCTTCCTCGGGTAGCGTCTCGATGGCTTCCACCCTGCACAAGGCTAGAGCTTGCATTTCCATAGGAGATGGTCGAGCCTGGGAATGGCTTCTGGATCCTTGCATCTCTGACATCGCGGGTCCGGAGGGACCGCGTACGGCTGCGTCCGTCGCAATTGCGAGAGGTTGATGTGGTACTTGAGCCTTGGCGTGACCGCGCCTTCGGTACGGATGCGCCGAAGTTGAACCGTTTCCTTTCGCTTGAAGGTTTTCGCCGGAAGCGGGTAGTCCTCGGGTTGCCACTTTTCCGCTAGCTGAATCTTTCGCATCTTGCGACATCTACGCAGCTCTTCGACGGGGTCGTAGCATGCCGTATTTTCTGGCTGTTCGACTGACTCTTCGCAGTTGGACGCCTGTTGGGATGGCAACTGAGGAATTCTTCTCATCCCGCACTGTGCCGCTGCGTGAGCCATGTCGTTTCCTGAGATCTCCTGGTGCCACCGCGTTGAGAGCTTCCTTTTCTTTTTCTTTTCTTTTCTCTTTTTTTGGTTCAATGTGTATTATAGCAAAAAAAAATAAAGATGACGTCTGGTACACCACAGAGATCGGGGTCAGGTCATTGTGAGTGTTCTTTCTTTCAGTGTTTCAAATTTATTTTTGTGTGCATCTGTTTCCTTGCGCTGTAAAGTGTTAGTATAAATCACCAACTCGCCCAAGTTCAAGTATTGCTATTCAAACTTGGCGGGTTAGACAATCTGGAAGTAAGACTTGACTGCAGCGCTGCTAGTTCTCGTGACCGCCACTGAGCCCACATCGCAGGCGCAGCTGTGATGCTGAGCTTGCTCCAGAAAGGTTTTGCTTAAGCGTACCGCTAGAGGCGGGACTCTTCAATCTCCTTCCCAGTACCGACGAAAAACAAAAATTTGTTTCCACCACTAAAGTGAGATGAGGGAGCCCTGCGCAATGGTGAGTCTATTGCGGCAATGGTGAGTCTATTGCTGCTGGAGCCCAAGTTCGCCATGCTGAAAGTGTACGGAATTCACCGAATATGGTGGTAAAAATGTAGCGACCACTTCGGTCGCGTTGCGCCGTCTTGTAATGCTGAAAACGTCATGCTGAACCGCCACTTCTCTGATCCTGTATACTTGCAGTGAGGACTTAATAGACCGTTGTGGTAAATCCCACAAGGCCGTTCATCAATCCCCCATTACACCGCGCGGCGCGTTGAAGGCATGGGGCCGTTTCGATGTCACAGTAATGAAGCACGAATTAACTTCAAAATATACATTTTTATATGGGCGATCTTCACGCAAGTCGTTTATTCGTCGTATAGCATTATTTGTTGTATACATCGTTCAGTATACATTTTTCCTCTTGCCAGCGGAAGAAAGGTATGCTAAACGAGTCTCAAGTGCACCTTAAAACGTGCTGCTTTGAGATGTGCCCATTTGGCGCCAAAACGCATACACTGAATGGGGCATCTACCAACGATACGGACTCATATGATTCTAGGTGTTGTCGAAGGCTTTCCTCGCGGCCGTTGTGAGCAGGAATTTTCCCCTGTCGCAGGTGTTTTGGACGTCGTCATGATGGACGTTGTAAATCAAAATACAAAATGTTGTGTGGGCCTTCAGTATACTCCTTACCTGAAATCGAAAAAAACGAGAAAGAATTTGTGATGA